ACCAGCTGCCTCCGGGACAGCCAAACCATACCTGTGGCGGAGCCAACATATGGGCTGATATTCGTACCAGTAGTGAAGTGTTCTGTTCAGCGGGGTCGTATTGTCCAACGACGGTACAGGAAAAGCCTTGCAGTAGTGGGTATTGTTTTTCCTCTGAATTTTGAAAATATTCGTTCTTTCTACATTTGTTATATGAAAGTAGTTAATTATCTCATCCTGAACTCTTGCTTTCATATTCATCTTTATTGATGCTATCGTATTTTCGTGTGCCTTTCCAGACATTACTGCAGGACGGGTTCGACATCTGAGAAGCGTAAGCCCTATACTTAGACTATTAAATTTTATATCTGAGTTCCGACTGCACTCGGAACATATCTTGAATCTTCATATTATCCGGATTGTTAGTTTAACCCTCATTGATCTTACAGGCTGCTTCAAGTTGACTTCTTGCAATTCAAACACATCAACTCAAGATCTGCATGCCTATGGAGCTATGCTTATTGTAAGTCGATCACTGTTTTTTTTTTTTGAAACCTTACCATTTTCTGTTTGATATTCGTTTTATTTTTCTAGATTCGAATCGGACATGCTTACGGAAGTATGCTTATAGCTTCATAGACAGCAGTCAGAAAGTAAACATGAAAATCTTCTTTGCTTATGCAGGCTGCTACTGTTACTCTGCTCTTGATTATCTACAACTGTTCCGACCAAGTTCTCACTACAAGGGAAAGACGACTGGCCAAAACCCGAGAAGCAGCAGCAAGGAGTGCAAGGGAGACGGTGAAAGCACGGCAGAGGTGGAAAGCTGCTAAGAATGCTGCTAAGAAACATGCAAGCGGACTGCAAACTCATATTTCCCAGAGATTTTCTTTCAAAAAAGCCACAAAACATCCCGATGAGGAACTTAAAATATTGGATGAAACAAATTTTGAAACGGATGAGCACTTGTATTCTCCAGTACATATGAGCACTTCAAGTGAGTCTCTATCATCATCTGCACCATCCAGTGGACAACAAATAGAACCCGGCAATTCGATGCAGATGATGCATGAAATTGAAGATGAGTCTGACAATTATGACGCATTCGATGTTGGTAGCCATGATAGAAAATCGAAAGGTCAAACTACTAAGGGGAAAAAACCTCATACACATAGCCAGATTTTTAAGTATGCGTATGCTCAAATCGAGAAAGAGAAGGCACAGCAACAAGACAATACGGATCTAACATTCTCAGGAGTGGTTTCTATGGCTACCAATCCCGAAATGAGGAAAAGGCCTCTGATCGAGGTCTCTTTCAAAGACCTTACACTCACATTGAAAGGAAAAGAAAAGCATCTTTTGAGGTGTGTTACCGGAAAAATCAAGCCTGGGCGCATCACTGCCGTCATGGGTCCTTCTGGTGCTGGAAAAACGACATTTATTTCTGCTCTGGCTGGAAAGGCAATGGGTTGCAAGATGACCGGTTTGATTCTTATTAACGGAAAAAACGAATCAATCCGCTCGTATAGGAAAATAATAGGTTATGTGCCACAAGATGACATCGTGCATGGGAACTTGACAGTGGAAGAGAATCTATGGTTTAATGCAAAGTGCAGGTATGCTAGTTTCAAAATTCAAACCCGTTTTACATTACCGACATACATCATGAAACATGTACTTATTGTTATTAGTGGTATTTCTGAAATCATTTTCTTGAAAAATTGTGTTTGATGATTTTTTGTGCATGCTTAAATTATATATCGTGGTTTTTTTTAGCTATCGCTTCTTTTATATTGATTGCTGCCATTATCCAATCTGATAAACTTCTGCATATGGAAGATTGCCTGCTCATTTTCCAAAACCGGATAAAGTTCTTGTCGTCGAAAGAGTTATAGAGTCTTTGGGGCTTCAGATGGTGCGTGATTCGTTGGTGGGAACCGTAGAAAAGCGAGGCATCTCAGGAGGCCAGAGGAAGCGAGTAAATGTCGGATTGGAAATGGTGATGGAACCTTCACTTTTGATATTGGATGAACCGACATCTGGTTTGGACAGTGCATCCTCTCTGCAGCTTCTTCGAGCACTTCGACATGAAGCTCTTGAAGGAGTAAACATCTGCATGGTGCTTCATCAACCAAGGTAACAAATTCTTATCCGAAGTCTACTTTTCATTTTAGAATCTAAAGCTTGAGTTTAGTCTCTCTTTTTTTTATGTATTAATTGCTGAAAATTCCGGTTCAGCTACTCCTTGTTTCAAATGTTTGATGATCTAGTCCTTTTGGCGAAAGGGGGATTCACAGTCTACCATGGTTCAGCAAAGAAAGCGGAACAGTACTTTGCAGGCCTCGGGATCCATGTCCCTGATCGTGTCAACCCTCCGGATCACTTTATTGACATTTTAGAGGGTATCGTAAAACCAACTCAAAGCTCTGCTGTGAACTATAAAGAGCTTCCGGTTAAGTGGATGCTTCACAATGGCTACCCAGTGCCCCCCGATCTGCAGCAAACTGCTGCAAGGATAGCTACACCCTCATCTAGTCCAGCTCCTATAAATGGGACAAGTCCTCTTCATGCTGGAACAGAGGAAACATCTTTTGCTGGAGAGTTATGGCAAGACATCCGGAGTAAAGTCGAGATACATCGGGATAGCATACGTCACAATTTATTGAAGTATAAGGACTTATCGAGGCGGAGGACTCCGGGTGTACTCTGGCAATACAGATACTTTCTCGGGAGGTAAGTACTATGATATCTCGAGTTAACCATCCCTGGTGAAAACAGTTCGATTTCTTCGCGTCATTTATTTTTTACTCGACAAAATAATCAGCTTCTTAATTCTGCACCATCTCAGGCTTTGTAAGCAGCGAATGAGGGAAGCCAAAGTACAAGCAACCGATTATCTTATCTTACTACTTGCTGGAGCTTGTTTAGGAACAATAGCTAAAACAGGCGAAGAAAACTTCGGGGCTGTTGGTTATACTTATACCATAATTGCAGTCTGTAAGTCCAAGAAATGTTATTTATGATACAAGGATTTCGTTGAACATAAATTGCCATATCGAATTGCTTACCATAAAATGTCTCAATGTTTTCAGCCCTTCTATGCAAAATAGCTGCTTTGAGATCATTTTCGCTCGATAAGTTACAATACTGGAGAGAGAGTGCATCTGGCATGAGCAGCTTGGCTTACTTTTTGGCCAAAGATACAGTTGACCATTTCAATACCGTGATCAAGCCCGTGGTGTATCTCTCTATGTTCTTTTTCTTCACAAATCCAAGATCTTCGTTTGCGGAAAATTATACCGTCTTGCTGTGTTTAGTTTACTGTGTGACCGGTATAGGCTATGCGTTTGCCATCTTCTTTCAACCTGGTCCTGCCCAACTGGTAAGCAAGATTTGACCATACCGAGTTGGAAATGTCTTTTACTGATTAATGATGTCGTATATCTTCTTGTTTCCTTGTAGTGGTCGGTTCTTGTTCCTGTTGTCTTGACTCTCGTGGCCACTCGGACTCAAGAAAATGAAGTTTTGAAAAGGATATCTAATCTGTGCTATCCCAAGTGGGCTTTGGAAGCTTTTGTCATATCAAACGCCGAAAGGTATGCCGTATGTTGTATCGAGTATCAGCTCTTTCATCTATTCAGGCGATCACAGATAAAATTGTATGCATTGCTCCTTAGTTTCAGATACATGTGTATGCATTGCTATCCCGAGTGAACTTCGGAAGCTTTTCGGTTTTCTTTGCTATGAAAGTCTCTTTTACCGAAATAGTCGTGTTATGTTTCAGGTATTACGGAGTGTGGTTAATTACTCGATGCGGAGCTCTTCTGAAAAGCGATTATAGTCTAGATGAGTGGGATCTTTGTATAGTCATTCTCATTCTCACCGGTGTAATCAGCCGTTCAATCGCATATCTTGGTATGATCACATTCCAGAAGAAGTGAAAATCCGAACATTTCGTCCCGTTCTACTTCCATCTGAAGTTCGGTCCTAAAGGCCAGTGGCACCATCGAACCTACAGCAACACGAAAATCGTGGGAGCGATGACTGCAATATGTCGGTAAATGGCGCCATATCTTTTCTTGTGCATCTTAGAATCGATGATTAAACTTAGTTACTTAGGTTATAGTTACACTACCTTATCTCCCATTTCATTTTGTACATTAGGGAGTGTGGTTTCTTTGGTTAGTTTCATTTGATAATCCATTTTCAGGCATATGATAACTGTAAAGAATAAAGACACCGTTTGTTATTGTACTTAATCCGTCTTCTCTTTGGTTTCCGAGTTTATTACCAAGTGTAGAGTTCGAAAATATGTGCTAATTATAAAACTGAAAAAATAACATTTTGTATCTTCTACATTTATAAGTTTTATCAAAGACCTTAAAAACTATATTCTTCAACCAACAATTGTTTTTATATATTTTTAAGGATCAAAAGTCAATTTGATAAAAAGATTCAAATGTAAGGGAATTAAAAAAATATTTATTGACTTAGGTTCGAGCACCATAGATGTTATGGGTGCTAATGTTTAACATTAAAATACTGAAAGTCATCTTTAAACAGATAATGTCTTGTACTTATATTATATTAATAAAAAAATTATTTTTACAACTATCAGGTCAATTGTTAACAATAAACTTGAAAATAACACGGGAATTTAATTTTTAAAAATTTAAGTATGAAGACTAAATATTAAAATTTGTAGTATGAGGATTCTCGGCATATTGAAATCTATTTTTTTTTCTTTAGATATATATGTAATTAATATTTATAACTTACAAACGTATTTAGAACATTGATATTGTGAATGAAAAAAAAATTACACTTAAAAATATATTATAATAAACATTTATAATATATATATATATATAAATTAATTAATCAATAAACTAAATATCGGTGATTATATTTATATATATATATATATATAAATATAAATATGTTGATTGCAGTTTGTGCAGTGAAGTTATTGATACACATACATTTGAATAATAAAAGTAAAAGTTTAAATAAACAATAACTTAAAACATCAATCGGTTCTTGTTTTTTCACAAACTTTCCATAGGGAAATAAAACAAACTATGAGCACAAATTAAATAACTTATAAAACAGTTAAGTTTGTCACAGTTTTTCAAACCTTGAGAAAATGGAAGAAAAAAACACACTCCCTTGTTTAGCATATAGGCAAAGGTGCACCGTTCCAGTCTTTCAAGCAATCCAGCAATGGATCAATCAACTTCCCTTCACACATCGCCGTGAAAACCTTGTCACATTCTTCTCCCGGTGAGATCGTCTTCTCGCCTGTCAACAAACTAGTCCCCAGGACATCCCTCACGAACTTGTACAATGGGTACGACCTGCATTCTTTGATCTTGTTCGGGATAGCGTGATTCCCGTTCTCGAATTCCGTCCTAGCGTTCTCGACTTCTTTAGGCAGATGTGCTTTCAACTCTTCTTCGAATGCGCCGATCTTTTGGAAGATCGAAGTGGTGGAGTCCAGTTCTTTCTCGCCGTTCATCAATGCATGGTCTACTAGTACTTGTCTCAGCTTTTGAATTAATGCGTAATTCGGACTGCAGGGGTCGTCGACATAGGCATATAGATGCTCGCGATCGACGACTCGTAGAAGGTCCTTTTCGCAGAATCTGGACAGGTGAAGTTCGCCGTTGGATCCCATTGTTAGGACTCGTTTAGCCACTTGGCTAACTGTGTTCTTCACAGTGTTCTTCAAATTCTCTTCCAAGTGCCTCAAGTCAATGGCTTGGCTGAGGGCTACCAAGAAACTTGATGACATGAGCTTCAATATGTCGACAGCTTCGGCTGTTTTTCTTGCTGAGATTAACCCTAAAGAGTTCACATCTTGGTTGTGTTGCTCGGCACTTTGCACATGGTTGGTAACAGGGTTGCCGAGGAATTGAAGTTCGGAACAGTATGAAGCCATCGCGATTTCGGCCCCCTTGAAACCGTAGTCCAGGCTGGGGTTCCGGCCTCCCGACAAGTTCGAAGGCAACCCGTTGTTGTAGTAATCGTTAACAAGCTCCGAGAATTGAGCGAACATGAGCTTGCCTATCGCGGCAATGGCCAAACGAGTGTTGTCCATTGATACACCGATTGGGGTACCCTGGAAGTTCCCTCCATGTAATGCCTTATCTCTCGAGACATCGATCAAGGGATTGTCGTTCACAGAGTTGATCTCCCGTTCGATCATTTTGGTAGCGAACCTGATCGTTTCAATCTGAGGACCGAGCCATTGAGGAGACGTTCGAAGAGCGTATCGGTCTTGTTTGGGTTTCTGAAGAGGATCCATTTCATGCAACTTCTGAGCTGCTTTAATGTAAGAGCTGCCATCCAAAATGTGTTCCATAATGGCAGCAGCCTCAATTTGTCCCGGATGGTGCTTCAGTTTATGTGTCAAATGGTCTGTAAACTCAGGTTTCCCTTGCATAACTTCAGCAAAAACGGCTGACATAACTTCAGATAGAACAGCTAACACATTAGCCTCATAGAGGACCAAGGAAGCTAACCCGGACCCGACCGCGGTTCCGTTAACCATAGCCAGACCCTCTTTGGGCTGCAACTCAAAGAACCCACTATTGATTCCAGCCTTGGCAAAGGCCTCAGTGGGGTTCAAGGTCTCACCATTAGGTCCCAAAGCTTTAGAGTTTGGCCTGCCGGTCAAAAGGCCAGCTATGTAGGAGAGTGGAACCAGGTCACCTGATGCACTGATTGAGCCCCTCAGTGGCACACATGGTGTGATGTTGACGTTGAGGAGCTTAGTGACAGCTTCTAGGATCTCGAATCTGATGCCGGAATAGCCTTGCAACAGCGTGTTGATCCGTACAAGCATGGCGGCCCTCGTCGCTGTGTGGGGCAAAGTGTGGCATGACTCGGTCCCTTGGCCGAAAACTCCGGCATTCAAGAACCTGTTTGAAATTATGTTTAGTTACGCAAATTTAAATAATATTAAACGTTCAAAAATATCCGATAATAATCGATACCAAAATTTAGCAGATAAAACCTATAACTTATTCAATAAGTAAAAATTTTCAACAAGAATTTTACTATTTCTAGACCCGGTGAGAGATTGCCGGCTTTGTTTATCTTTTCTAATGTTTCTTGAATGTTACTTCAACACCAACCAAATGAAAGAAAACAAGATTGGTTTTCCTTTTTTTATTAGTAAAATCCATACAAAAATATTTGTCAGTCTTCAATTTGTCCCTACATGAAGACTTAAAATGAAGGTAAACGTGAAAAAGAACACAACTTAATATGAAAACTCGAAGTTTATTTCAAATTTAATTTCAATCAGAATTAAAGTGAGTATACCACATATTTGATCGATAACATAAAATGTTATTTTATATCTATAGAATAAATATATTTATATTTTTATGTTATTAATACTTTTGAAAATTTTCTTTTTAAATGAGAAATTAAGAAAAAGATTCGGGCAGGTGACAAAAACAAAGGTTTTAAGTGCATGGGTCTTTCACATAATTAATTAATGAGGAAGATAGCTGAAAATAAATACAACACCAAACACGGCGGTAAGTGTGTTGTGCTTTATGGCCAATTTAACGGCTCTTTAGCTTTTAGTTACCTAAGTTTATGGAATATCATATCTATACGAAAAAATTATATATATTATATGATATAATAAAAATAAATATAAGATCCATTCATCTCGTATAAAATATTTAGTTTTTTATATTTTTAAAATTATTAAATAAATAAAATAAACCATTGAGATTAATAAAAATGAAGAAATAGATAAAATTTTACCTATTTTCATCAATCCAACAATCCTAAAAATTATAATTTAACGCTAGATATAAGTGTTTTTTAATTCATAAAAATAATGTTAATTAATATATTGAAATTTATATAATTTTTAAATATTATTATAACACGTAAATATAATCATGTAGAAATAAATTAAGATAAAATTTCTTATTTCCTGTAAACATTTTGTTAGTTCAGATAGTATAGATGATATGAATTTGATATTAATAACGAAATACCTTATATGATTATGACGTAAAAATAGGAAATTCAAAGTTACCTTATAAGCTCCTTTTGGAGAGCAGCGCCCTGTTTGGTTCTGCGATGAGAGGTTGCACCAAAGCCAGTGGTGACGCCGTAACTGTCCGTACCTCTTTTCATTCCTTCCATCACCCAATCACTGCTCGCTTTGACCGCCGGTCGAGCCGCCTCCGAGAGCTCCACCTGGACGGCGGCGTCGCGGTTGGCAATGGCCGTTACTTGAGCTATCGTTAGCGTCTCGCCACCGAGACGAACCACCGGATTCTTGTACTCCTCCACCATTCGCTTCACTTCGTCGAGATGGCTACCTTTCATCGACTGAACCGACGCGGCCCAGTTCAACGGATCACCAGAAGCGGCAGTAACTGTGCAGAAACTGTTTCCGCCATTGCAGTTACCCGTAACGATCTCCATTGGTTCCATCGATGAGAAGCGCTAAAGCCGGAATTCAATGGCTAATGATTGAAAAACAAAGGTTGTTTTTCAAAAAAAAGGAAATTTTCCGGGAAAATGAAAATTTTCCTGAGTTCGTTGAACGATAATCCGAAGCTTTAAATAGAGGAAAAATATTATTATTTAAAAAAAATGAAAATGGCTGGGTAGGTTGGCCGATGGGTTAGTTGAGAACATTATGTGGCCGTTGGATCTTCATGGTTTTCCATTGTTGAGATGTTGGCACGTGGTTTTCTTTGATTGGTGGCCGCTCAAATAAACCTCTAAGCATAAAAGTACAAGAAATTTTTTTATTGAAAGAGAGATGGGGGTTGGTGAGCACTCGGGGAGACACGAAATCAACGGCGTCACCCTTAATCCTTTGAGTGCAAAATTACCATTTGGCCTTTATAGGTGGAAAAATACTATTAATAATATATCTGGCCTGTGAAAAATTATAAAAAGTATATAATATCATAGTAGGATTATCATATAAAATAAATAAATGAAACATCTTCAAGATCATATAATCATTTCAATTCATCTCTTAATAGTTTAAAGAGTTTCAATTCAATTAACTTAGTTAATATGGTAATTTTTTATTATAAGATTAAATACAATTAAATATGTAATTTCTATAAATTTTTTTATTTTTCTAATATTATTTAGGAGAACTCTTCCTCTAAGGATAAGAATACATTTATATCTTTAAAGAATTCTTTTTCTTTCGAGAATAAAACATTCTCAAAAATACATAATCTTTTAACATGATATTTGATAAAAAAATTTATATCCTCTATAATCAATTAATCAATCAAATCTGTTAAACTTGTCAATCTATGAATAACGATAATGATTCTACAGTTAAAGTCATTATAAAACATCTTGAATAAGACTGAAAGAAAGACCGAAACCTCTTTCATAACTCATTCTTCTTATGGAGACAAAGGCAGAAAAGTGCCTATGCAGTGGACTTTGAAATGGTAGATTATCTTCTGTTTTTTTTTAAATAATTAATATAAGGGTAAACTACATTGGTGGTCTCATTCTTTCCGTCTATTTTATTTTGATACCAGTTTTGAAAAAGTTACATTCAGTCGACTAAATTTTTGGAGTTTATTTTTAGTAATGTTTCATGTCATCAAGCTAACTAAAGCTAACAACTTAGTGATCAAAATCAAATAGATTAAAAAAGCGGTTGGAACAATTTTTTTTTTTCAAATTTGGTGACCAAAACAAGATAAATAAAAAAGGACCCATATTATAATTTACCCTAAATATAATGGTAAATTACATTTTAATTTTAGAAAATTATAATTTGATTTTGATTTTTAAAATATTTTTGTCAGTTTTTTAACATATTCTTTTCCCAAAAAAATTCTAATCATTTACATTATTAATTTATTACATGTTGATCATTATTTCATTGAAGTGATAAGTTAAAAAAATTAATTTTTTAATCTAATTCTTAAATTATAAATAAAATATCAATTTAATTAATTTTTCCCGTTTCTAAAAAAAAATTAACTCTCTCTCTCTCTCACGTTGTTATTGTTCATCGCCGCCTAAACTAATCGTCGCTCTGACGACCTAAAACTATCAGGAAAAAAGATCTCCTTTCAATCTATCTTCCCATCGGATTAATTGAATGATGAAAATTAAATTGGAAGGGTTAGTTCTATAATAGGTTTCTATAATATCATGTGATATAATTTAATTGAAAAATAAATAATATAAAAAAATTATACAACTCACCATGATGCCCAAACTTTAGCTTTGGACCTCAACTTTAATATATATACATTGAGGGAAGAAAACGGTAAGTTTTTAGAATAGTTGTATGTAATTTTGTGAACATTTTAATAATATAATATTAATTAAGTAATTAATATTTATAAAAACAACACAAATCAAGCGACATCAATGATTAAAAGAATGATTTTTATCTACAGAGATTTTGAGGTTCGAGGACGATGTCTACCATATGTTTAAGTTTAATCTAACTTAAACTTTGCCAAACAATTTTTTTTTATTTGGTAATGTCCTTTTAGAAGTTGGTTTGAATTGTTTGGGTAAGTTTCTCTACCTAAGTTGCTTTTCTATAATTACTTTTTGCATGGAAATGACAAAATCTCTTTCATTTGGAAATAAATAGATAAACCCGATAAAATGAGATTATAATAGTAAGGTTTAGTTTATTTTGCAAGATATTTTTAAAAATAATTTTTTTTTGTAAAAAATCAATTATTTGAAAAGGTCCGAATGCATTTCAAAGAAGGGTTTTTAAATTATTTTTCACAAAATAAGATATATATATATATATTGAAAAATATTCTTACGAAATTTCCACCACTTATATAAATACAATAGTGGAAAATCTACCAAATCCATTTCAATTAATTAATTGCTTAAAGGTTGGTAGGGTGTTGTCAACAATATACATCTTCCTACATCCACTTCCCTTTGAAGGACTCTAAGTTTTCTTCTAATTCTATTTTTCTTTTTTGTTATTATTTTTCAATAATTTTGTCTATTCTTTTTTCTAATGAGTCACACTTGTAAATACTATCTCCCTATATCAAACTTTCATCACATTTTTATCCTAAAAAAATTTAAAAATATCCAAATTAAAATTTATTTTTTCTCAACTTTAATCATAATTATAAAAAATCAATAATATTCTAGACAATATGTTTTCTTTACATTTAGGGTTTTTCTTATGTTCCAAAATAGATTATAATTATATTTTCCCATGAAATGAAAACCCTATGTGAGAATTAAGTAAACCCAAAGACACATCAAGCTCCCTAGGGAGTAGACCTTTTTATTTTTTTTCCAAAAAAATAAAATAAAGTGTTGTTGAAGTGTTTATTTCAGCTTAGAAAAGCAAGGTTTTGTGGTTAAAAAAATATTGCATTATCCAAAGAAAACTAAACAAAATTAACATAAAAGAAAAGGTATCAATGAATAAGGATGATGATTGAATGAGGCATTAAAAATAGATAAATAAATAGATAAAGATAATAATAAGGGGAATTGTTAAGCTTGCAAGTCATGATCATCACCAACCACAACTTATTTTCTCCTCCATATACAAGGGGTAGGTGAAACCAATGAGAATTTTCTTTAGATATCTTCTATCATGTGTCATATATACATATTTTAAGTATGTACTGTATATATGTATGTGAATTGGTCTAGTTTTGATTTAGCATTTTTAAGTGTATTTATTTCATTTTTTTTGGAAGAGAAATATAATATTCCAAAGAAACCCTAAAGAGATTAATTAATAGATTGCCAAAAACTATATATAGCTAGTTTTAGTAAAATTTTTCATACAATAAATATAGAATAAGAAAATTAACGTAATTAAAATAGAAATGGTCCCAATTTGTTTTTTGTTTTTTTGAATCTTAATATAATTTTTTAAAATATAATTGGACAAAATTCAAATTCTCAGCATCTTTCCAACGAGACAGATATTGGTTGTAGGGGTTCAACTAAAACAACCGATTAAAAAGAAAGAAAAAAAAAGGTCGTAGAAAATGGAGATCTTTACAAAACATTTTGAAGCAAATTTATTATCATTATTTATCGATTAAAAAATCAAAATGAAAATGGATATAAAATTTTCAGTTCTAAAACATTTTGAAGCATCTTTTGATTTTGATATCTAAAACATGATACGATCAAGTGATTTTAGTTTTTTTTAATTAATCACTGGTATCCAATCTATTGACCGACTAATCCAGATCGGATACTGCAGAGGCAAGAGCGACCCTCCTAACTTAGTTTGCTTCATTCGCAAACACCAGGATTTGAACTCCTGACCTTGCTTAAGGAACCTAGTTCCTCATACCACTAGACCAACTAATTGTTGGTAGTTGATTTCAGTTCTGAATATACTTCGTTTGATTAAATACTAATTGTATTAAAATATTTTCAAAGTTATTGTGGATGATTTGAAACTAATTTGATTTAGTATTGTAAACGTTTATAGTTTATAATTAATATGACTTTTTCAATTATAATTTACTCGATTTATATTATCAGAATTTAAACTCTAATCTTATTTAGAAAATATAACATCTCATCTAAAAAAATATTATGGGCAGCATTTTAACTTATATTTTTAATCATTCTGAAAGGTACCATTACAACCATATTATTGTTACAAATAAAAGTAATACATTCAAACGCAACTAATAAAACTAAAGATAACCAATGAGTTGCCAATGAGTTGGTTTAAGTAGTAAACAACTTGATATCGCTTAAGTAAGGTCTTATGTTTGAGTCATTGTGTATGCAGAAAATCCCCACTAGGAGACTCACCCACCAAAGTCAGGCGTGCGACCCGGATCGATATATCACATCTCAGTTAGCGGGTTAGCATCAAACTCAATCTGCCATCAATTTTTAATAGATAATAACGAGTTTGGAGCACAATGAATAGTTGGGTAACCATTTTATTACTTTTAATAGTCAGGGGACTTAAAAAATGTAATTTCTTATAACCAGAAGACCATTTTATAACTTTTAATAGTCGAATAACTCAATAAAGTAGCACTCTATTGTAACACCCCAATTTAGGGGCTAGTTTTTAAGTATCGAATTAAAGTCGTATAAAGGTAGAAATTGAGGACTAAATCATAATTTTTAAAGTTTTAGCTTTTTTGTGGAACTTGTGGGAAATTCAGGGATTTGAACCCGAATCATCCCAGTTTTATGAGTAAGTGAAAAATAAACCCCTTTCCCCGGTGAAATCCCAAAAACCCAGAAAATTCCCAAAACTCTTCACCTGTTCATAAACCCCGATAACCCAAACCCCAAACCAAACAACCCCACCGTCGCCCCTCCAGTCAGCCCCTCCAGCCTGCGGTTGATTGCGTCGTCGGTGTCATCGGCCTCAGCAACGATTGACGGTCCAACCCCTACCCTTAGAACGTCATTTCGATCGTCGTCCCTGCTCCATCCAGAAGTACAGGTTACCACCACCTCCAGTCGTCACGCCTCGCCAGCCCGACCAAAACCACCCGTCCGATCTTCAAAACCCCACGCCGTCCGTCATGGAA